TTGTCTTCTTGATGGCTCTGGCTTCAACTTTCTGATGGTTCCACATCTGCATTTGTATAAGACTAGCTACTGCCCTGGGCAGAGATGAGGCCAGGTTTGGTTTCTGCTTTTCAAAAAAATGCTTTTAAAAATCCTTTTGGTGAACAATATTTTTTTCCTGCCTTTTTAATATTTCCTTCTCTGGGTTAACTTCCCACACCTGCTTATTACTTTAACTTGCATTGTGAACCAGGATAAACCACGACACAATTTGTAGGAAGCCTTTGCTGCCTGGGGCGTGGCAGACTGTAGGAACCCAATCTGCAAATTTCTGCCTTTGAAATGCATTGGATTGTGCGCCCAAAGGAATCCCCTTTCGGCTAGCCACACCCGGGAGCACTTTTGGGTGTGAGTAAAGGCCGAAATAAAATATCAATACAGGAGAATCTTTGCAGCTCAGGGTTGACATGAGCGGTCTTTGGTGCTGAGGTTGGTTGTTTTCTTCCAGGCGCACCGTCACCCAAACTAGGTAACATCATCCGGGCTAAGTCCGTGCTGTAGCCCTGATGATGTTACCTAGCTTGGTTAATGAGACGTCTGCAAGAAAACAACGAAGCTCAAAGAACATCAAGGACCTCTCACTCAAGTCCAGTTTACAGATGGAATGGAAGAGAACTAAGGAGAAACTTCCTGACAGTGAGGACAATTAACCAGTGGAACAACCTGCCTCCAGAAGCAGTGAATGCTCCAACACTGGAAGTTTTTAAGAAGAGACTGGACAGCCATTTGTCCGAAATGATATAGGGTTTCCTGCCTGAGCAGGGGGTTGGACTAGATGACCTTCAAGGTCCCTTCCAACTTTTTATTATTATATAATAATAATAATAATAATAATAATAATAATAATAATAATAATAATAATAATAATAATAATAATAATAATAATAATAATAATAATAATAATAATAATAATTATTATTATTATTATTATTATTATTATTATTAGGCAAAAGAGCTCCTCGAGACTGAAGTCAACATGTTTCACCACTAAAATCAGGAAAGTATAACCAAAATTATATGTTATTTGGTTTATTAAAAAAAAAATATAGGAGCTGCCTTTCACTCCTTTTCCTTGCGACCGCGGCAGGACTCGAACCTGCAATCTTCTGATCCGAAGTCAGACGCCTTATCCATTAGGCCACGCGGCCACTCCGGTAAGGAAAGCTTCGCGATCCCTATAGAAGTTGCAGCAAGGACTCAGCCGCAGCCGCGGCTCCGGGCGATTTAGGAAGGTACCATTTTCTCCTCAGATGCAGGGGAGGCCTCCAAAGACAGACAAAAAACAAAACAAGCTTCTCGACAGCGACGTACTTTTTCTGAGCCTCGTTTTTTTCTTTCTTTTATGTAACCCGTTTAGAGGCGTTCTCGCTTTCTGGGGAGCTTTCGGAACGTAAAAAGGAGCGTTTGGTTTCCCCTTTCATCCTCAGTTCCCCCCTTCTTGAGTTGGAAGAGGCCGCCATGAGTCGAAGCGGAAGAGCTGCAGATTTGCGTTGAGTTTTTTTTGGGTTTTTTTTGCAGAAGGTGGAAGGAAACGGGGGGCGGCCTTGCAAGGTTTGGGGGGGCTTTTTGCACCTTCAAAGGGTGCAAGGCCGCGAGGGAGGGGGGCATCTTCCTCTCTTCCTGCATCTTCTTCTCTTGGGAAAAGGAGGAAGGCAGATTTCCTTCGGATTAGGTGGTGAGCAGGCATCTGTTTCTATTGGGGGGACCGTTCCTTATCGGTTTAAAACCCCTCTCTGCCCGAATTTATGGGGGGGAAAAATCCCCCCTCCCGCTACTTTCTTCCACCCCGCGCTCGCTCTCTCCCACGTACGTAAGTGTGCTGTTCGAATTGGGCGCAGAACGTAAATTGGGTCGCGAATTGGGAACCACCAGACTTCAACGTGCTACCCAAGTCACGATTTGATACCCAAACTGGCTGGGTTTTGCACCACATGCTGGCTAGGCTACAGAAGCATGGTTAGCATTAAGCAAACATTAAGCATAGATGCGTTTGTTTGGGCTGTTTTTGTTTTTAATGTGGCTGAATTTTAAATGTTTTAGATAACAGGCGAGAAGGCAAAAACACTCAATAAGTCATTTTCAGAGGACTGGAGGGAATATCCTTTGGGAATGTGTGGATAATCTGATTTTGCTGGGGGGAGGGAATCAGTGTTTGCAATTTAGGAAGGAACAATTTTTCTGTTGTTTTTTTTCCCAAGGGTAAGAGAAAGGGACATAGGCTTGATTAATAGATCGGTGTCGCCAGTAGAATATTCTTGTAGCTCAGAGTTGAAATGAGGGGTTCTTAATGTACTCTGAGCTGGACTGCTTACATGCAGACATTTCAGGACCCAACTAAGTAACATCATCCGTGCGGTGGGTTGAATAAGCTCGGCTATTAACAGCAATAGCACTTAAGACTTATATAGTGCTTTGCAGTGCTTGACTGCCCTCTCTAAGCGGTTTACGGGGTCAGCATAGATTGCCCCCAACAATCTGGGTCCTCATTTTACCCACCTCGGAAGGAGGGAAGGCCGAGTCAAGCTTAAGCCGGTCAGGATCGAACTCCTGACAGTCAGCAGTGAGTTAGCCTGCAGTACTGCGTTCTCACCACTGCGCCACCGTCATGTTTTGTTCAGCAAGCCATGATAAGAAATCATGGTTGATTGCCTCCTAGTAAGGTAGTGTTAATAAGAATCTGGAATGGGAAATATTAACGTGAGCATGGGCCGTGCTGTTTCCTGACAGATCTGAGCTGGCCAGGAAATCGGGCTTGTTTTCCCAACCGCTCGCCCGTAGGTGAAGATGAAGCGCCTGCCGTGGAGGACGTCGCTGGCAGGTCCATCCTTCTTGTGCAGAACCCGGGCGTGCGCCTCCCGTTCCTCTGCGGGGCTCCTGCTTCAGGAGAAGATGGCTCCAGATACGGGTGCTCCTCCCAAAGAGGACCAACGCATGAATCCTCTTGGCATCCAGATGCTCTCCAAAGGCCTTCATGAACAGATCTTCCGGGGGGCTCAAGTTCATTATTCAGAGGAAGACGTCCAGAAGAGCATAGAACACTTGGAGAGGCATGACTTGTGGGGCAAAGAGACAGCCACCATTCCTGATGTGGCATTACAGCTTCCTCGGATGTATGGAGCGAACATCGATGAACATTTCCGCCTCTTGGCTCAGAAGCAAAGCCTCCCCTATCTGGAGGCTGCGAAGGAGCTTTTTGAGCACGAGATCCCACCAAGGCCCACGGAGTGGGCTTGGGAAGTAGGGTGGACTCGGTATGGTCCCGAGGGGGAGAGGGAAAAGGTGGATTTCCCCGATGAACGAGCTTTGGTCTTTGATGTGGAGGTGTGCATGGAAGAAGGACATTGTCCCACCCTCGCAGTGGCTTTGTCATCCAATGCTTGGTAAGAAGCAGCAGAGCATAGAGCGTAGAGTAGAGTAGAGTAGAGTAGAGTAGAATAGAATAGAATAGAATAGAATAGAATAGAATAGAATAGAATAGAATAGAATAGAATAGAATAGAATAGAATAGAATAGAATAGGACCTTGGAGGTCTTCTAGTCCAACCCCCTGTTCAACCAGGAGAACCTATACCATCTCAGACAGGTGAATGTCTAGTCTCTTGAAAATCTCCAATGATGGAGCGCCCACGATTTCTGAAGGCAAGCTGTTCCACTGGTTGATTGTCCTCACTGTCAGGAAGTTTCTTCTTGATTCCAGGTTGCTTCTCTCCTTGATCAGTTTCCAACCATTGTTTCTCGTCCTTCCCGCTGGTGCTTTGGTGAATAACGTGACCCCCTCTGCCTTGTGGCAGCCCCTCAGATACTGGAACACTGCTATCATCTCTCCCCTATTTCTCCTTTTCTTCAGACTAGCCAAACCCAACTCCCGCAGCCGCTCTTTGTATGTTTTGGTCTCCAGGCCTTGGATCATCTTAGTTGCTCTTCTCTGAATTTTTTCCAGACTCTCAACATCTTCTTTGTGATATGGTGACCAAAATTGGCTGCAGTATTCCAGGTGTGGTCTTATTAGGGCTTTATAAAGTGGTACTAGTACTTCATGTGATCTTGATACTATGCCTTTGTTGACTGCAACCATACTATTGAGAAAATACACATAGACGTTAGACAGCATGGTGAGAATTAGGTGGTCAGCAGAGTTTGGCTTTGCAGAGTGGCTAAACCAAAAGGAAAAAATACAGTAAAATCTGTTCTGCTTCACAGGTATTCTTGGTGCAGCAAGCGTCTGCTGGAACAACGCTATAGCTGGTCTAACCAACTGGGGCTGTCCGATCTCATCCCTCTGGAAACCAGCAGCAGCCTCAAGAAGCAGACTGGGCAGGAGAGGCTGGTGATCGGCCACAACGTCTCCTTCGACCGGGCTCACGTCAAGGAGCAATACCTGATCCAGGTAAGACATCCCTCGCCGTTTCTTCAGCTTGCTTTCTTCTCCTCTGCCCGGTTCTCACAGGGACTCGAAGAGAAAATGTTTGTGGCTGGGGGTGACTTGTCTGATCTTGAACAATTAAAATGGGGGTCAGATCTGGTGGCTTGCTGTACTTAAATGGAAGACCACCAGGAGATTCTAGGGCTGTACAGGTAGTCCTCGACTTAACGATCAAATTTCTGTTGCTAAGCAAGACAGCTAAATGGGTTTTGCCCCATTTTACTATCTTGTCTTGCCACGGTGGTTGAGTGAATCACTGCAGTTGTTAAGTGGATCGTGCAGCTGTGAAGCAAATGTTCAATGGGTTGATGGTGTACATTTCTTTGAACCTGGTTGTTGCAGCGTGTTACTATATTTGTATTGGAAGCACCTACCAGCATTAAGGAACCACAGCATGCGATGCCATTTGTTGAGTGAGATATGAACTGGCCGCATCGTATGTCTGAGAGCAGAACAGAACAGAATAGAACAGAACAGAACAGAATAGAATTTGGAATAGAATAGAATAGAATAGAATAGAATAGAATAGAATAGAATAGAATAGAATAGAATAGAATAATAGAATAGAATAGAACATTGATGACGAACCTTTTAGAGACCCAGTGCCCAAACTGCAACTCAAAACCCACTTATTTATCACTGGGTGCCGGGTGGGCGTGGCTCTGGTGATCATGGCAGACTGGGTGGGTGGGGCCAGGGCGGTGGGGGCCAGTCCCTCGCCATCTCCGGGGCACAGCACACGTGCGCACAGAGGGCTCTGTGTGCCGCCTCTGGCACGTGTGCCATAGGTTTGCTACCACTGGAATAGAATAGAATTTGGAATAGAATAGAGTAGAATAGAATAGAATAGAATAGAATAGAATAGAATAGAATAGAATAGAATAGAATAGAATAGACAGAGTTGGAAGATACCTTGTAGGTCATCTAATCCAACCCCCTGCTCAGGCAGGAAACCCTATACCATTTCAGACTGATGTTCCAGTCTACGTTGGTTTGTAAGGCAATGTCAAATGCTCCCTTTGACTGTTCCAACCACTCTTTTAGGGATCCCAAATGCGGTTCCTGGACACGATGAGCATGCACATGGCTATTTCCGGACTGACCGGTTTCCAGCGCAGCCTTTGGAAGGCCGCCAAGCAGGGCAAGGGGAGAGGACTGCAACAGGTCCAGCAACACATCAAGAAAACACGAAGAAAAGGCAGTGGACCCGTGGTAAGTGGATGCAGCCGTGATCAGGATGCTGTCGCACAGCACCTTGACTCTCGACGCAAGGTGTTTGGTGTGTTCTTGATGCAACTGGCCCAGTGCAAGGGACATAACTGTGAAAGGAGTGGACCTCTTCAAAGGTTGTAGATACAGGTGGTCCACAACTTAACAACCACAATGAAGCCCAGAATTTCTATCGTATATCATGACGGACATAACAGTAAGTTGTAGCACCCAACCTGTCTCCTTGCCTCCTCTTTTAAAGTCGTATCTTTAAAAGAGCAGAAAATAGTTCAGAATCCGAATAGAGCTGGAAGGGACCTTGGAGGTCTTCTAGTCCAGCCCCCGCTCAAGCAGGAGACCTTGCCACAAAACGTTTCCCGCTATTTTATTTCTGCAAGATTTATTTGAAACGGGAGAGCGGCATTCACAAATAGGACTTCCCCTCTGTCGAAGAAAACAGATGTTCTCTGATTTCCTCCATCCTTATTCTACTGCATATATATGGATTAAGCTAGAGAGGCCTGGGCATCTAATAAAAAGATGGGCATCTGAGATTGCAGAGGAGACAAACTGGTTATTTAATTCTGAGAGTTAAAGATGTGTGGGGGAGAAAGGGGCCATAATGATTGGAATGGACAGTTGTGTCTTTGTTATTTATTATATTAAAATGCTGCCCGGCTTCTAACCAGTCTAGTTTCTCTCCACGTGGTTTTCAATCTATAGATGAGTTTCTTATTTTTCTTTTGCTGGTCTTCCATTGTAGGTTGGCTCCTGGAACTGGGTGAACATCAGCAGTATCAACAACCTGGCCGATGTGCATTCCCTCTATGTTGGAGGGCAGCCGTTACAGAAAGAAGCCCGTGAACTCTTCGTCAAGGGCAGCATGAATGATATCAGGAATAACTTCCAGGTGGGAAGACAATCTCTTCTCTCTTTCTGAGAACAGAGTCTTAGCTAGTAGGAGCCAAGAAAGCGTCTGCATGAAACGAAGATGGCACCCCATCAGTAACCAGGAGGCAATATTTAAAGTAGATTAGCAAATGGCTTGTGGTCCACCTTTTAATAACTTGTTCTGTCCCTGTTCCGACCCACACACCCAAACAGCCAGCCGAGGGTTAAAGACTTCTCCAGACACCACTTCACCGATAAGAAACTTGGCAGCAGCTCCGTAGCTGCCTGCCAAGACCTTTTACTCCAAGCACACAGAAACAAAAAACAATACACACAGTTTAAAGCCACAGCACACTACTTTGCCAGAGATTCAGCTTTTGTCCGTCACAGAGGTCCAAATGGCCACCACCACCCTTTTATAGCCTGTGGGGTGTGGTCCAGTGATTCAGCTTAATCTCTGGCACGTCTCCTTTTCTGCTGCGCACGCTTGTCGCTCCTACGCTGGCGTGGATCCAGCCACAACTTCTCTTCCTCATTATCCGACACACCTGGCTCCTGGCCAATCCCAGAAACACCTGGCTCCTGGCCAGTCTCAGAACCACCTGGCTCCTGGTCAATCTCTTCTCCGTCGGGAGACACCTGAGGCATTGCCAAAGAGGAGGGTCCTGGAGAGGGAGGCCTGGCCATCTCCTCTCCTTCATGTTCGGAGCCTTCTTCCTCCGATAAGAGGGGCTCACAAGATGGAGCCACAATATAACTGTCCTTTCCTTATGTTTCACTCTTTGTTCAAAGGAGCTGATGAATTACTGTGCCCTTGATGTTCAGGCTACTTATGAAATATTCCACGAGCAGCTTCCTCTTTTCCTGCAAAGGTGAATTGTTCGTTGGGTGAAAATGTGTTTGAGGATGAGATTCTAGTGTTCTGGGTTAGCTACCAATCTCGGGTTGACTTTGTATAGTTGTTTAAGACCTTGTAAAGAACGGTAGGAGCATGGAGTCGACACGGTTTAGTTCGTGGGGTCCCTGAGCGTGATTGTTTTTTTTTCTCTTTTGGCTGTTCCTTTCTCTTATTCCCCATTAGGTGTCCACATCCTGTGACTTTTGCAGGTATGCTAGAAATGGGGGTTTCTTACTTACCTGTTAATCAGAACTGGGTGAAGTACCTGGATGAAGCTCAGGTCACTTACGAGGAGCTGCAAAAAGAGATGAAGAAGTCTCTGATGAACTTGGCCGACAATGCTTGTCAGCTGCTTCACGAGGAGAGGTACTCGTCGATCGTGGCTTAGTAGAGCTAGTAGGCTTTAAACCAGAACTATACCGTTCAGTAAAATGATGGGTCTTGCAATCCGGATCTCAGTCAAGCAGCAGTAGGGTGATAATGAGAGGAGAAGAAGAAGGGAGGAAGAAATTGACTTACAGCTATAGAATCAACCTTATCTTCTGCTGTAGCCTGCAGAATCTCAGATGCCTTTGGGTGGGAAAGGCTGTTTGAGATGGGAATGGCTGTTTGCATGATCCCTCCTTGAGGTTGGTCTGTTGTATCCCAATAGGTACAAAGATGACCCCTGGTTGTGGGATCTGAAATGGGACCTCCAAAAATTTAAGCAAAAGAAAACGAAACCAACTAGGAAGAAAAAGGAAGACGTGAATGAAGAGCCAGCTAAAGTAGTGGAAAGAGCATCTCCGCTGGAGTGGCAGGAAGGTAGATGACCACTTATTGATCAAATTAAGAGAGGAGTTCCTTACAATTGTATAATTGTGTGTTTGATGTCTCTTCATGGCCAGCTCAAGGTGGTAGGCCTTGTAGTCGTGGAGTTATCTTTCTGTCATCTTTAGGTTCCTGTACACTGCATTCACTGGCTGGGATCACACCTGGCGTTAAGCTGAAATTGTGTCTTTCTTTTGCTTTGGCATACTCCACTACTGTAGCCCAACCATTGTGGTTGGCACCCCACAGCTAAGGCTTAATGCAATGCACCACCCATTAGTGGCAGGGTGATTCTGGGGAACAGGGTTTAACAAACCATGGTTTGGCATAATGTGTGAACCAGTTTCACCTTAACCATATTATAATTCTGCTTGAACATTGGCGGAGTCTTTGAAATTTGCTTTCTGAATGAAAGCTACAAAGAATACGTATGCATGCTCACTCATTCCTTTTAACATAAGCAGAATAAGTCACAGCAAAACAAAGGAAAAGGGAGGAAATAAGAGAATAAAATTCTAGCCAAACCTAGAGTATACCAACAGGATTAACGGTACTTTCCTATCTTTGATTCTTTGATTTTGCTTGCATCCATTCATACATTGCATTTTGTAAACTTCTCACCTCCTTCTTGGGAATCTCACCGGCTCCATCCAGCCTCAACTTCCCTGGTCATCTCTTCCCTTTGAACTCATTTGCTATTACATTGGGCTATAACAGTGGTTCTCAACCTTTTTAATGCCGCGACCCCAACCGGTCGTAAGTCGAGGACTAAACCGGCCGTAAGTCGAGGACTAAACCGGTCATAAGTCGAGGACTAAACCGGTCGTAAGTCGAGGACTACCCAACCGGTTGTAAGTCGAGGACTTTCCCTGCCCGGGAGCGCCGTGCATGCGTGGTTCCGCCCCCTGCGCTGGCCGAGGCGTAGCTGGCAAGCGGCAGAGATGGAGCAGGCCGACCACCAGCTGGCCCAGCCCAAGGGAGGTAAGGCACCCGCCGGAAAAGGGGAAAAAAATGGCGGACAGCCTTGCTTGGCGACCCCCGTGAAATGGTCGATCGACCCCAAATGGGGTCGCAACCCACAGGTTGAGAACCACTGGGCTATAACTTTGCAAGGCATGGAGTTTTATTGGGGCAAGATAGGTTCTGAGGCTCCTTGAGATCAGATAAGGTACAGTTAAGATGGTTTGCACGCTGCTTGTAATTTTTATTTTGCATGTTGTATTGTTATGTTGTGAAAATAGATCCTGGTCCTCTGACAGAAGAAGGAGAACAAAGCCAAAATGGCAGCCAACAGGTTCTTCAGAGTCTAAAGGAGACGGTGGTTTTGCAGCCAAAAAGAATTCAGCATCTCCCTGGCCATCCAGAGTAAGTTCCTAAAGAAATGTTTCAGATGTAGATAAATAAGGAGTTCTCTTGAAACAGTTTCCCAAAATCTGGTTCTTTCCAGCTGTGGTCGGTTTCTGCTCCTCTAATGCCCAACCAGCACAGCTGGGTCTCCCTTTGCCTCCATCTCATGGGAATGGTCTGCATTTGTTCTTTGGAAGGACAGATACTGAGAAGAGAGGACTGTCTACTCTACGGAGATGCTCAGTCATCCAGGTCATAGTTATCCCAAAGATGCTTTTTCACAAGGCAACTGGACTTCCTTGTTTTTCTTTGAAGACGTTTTGCTTCTCATCCAAGAAGCTTCTTCAGCTCTGGCTGGATGGTGGGGAATGGAAGGATTTATACTCCTTGCAGACAGCTGGTCATTTGCCTTCTTTTAGCGAGTCGTTAAAGCTACCTGGAGCTTATCTGTGTCTTCAGGGTCACCTGAGTAGTGCAAATGGGTGTGGAGCTTTCTTGGAACTGTTGAAAGGACTGTGTTCTAGACTGGAGATAGATGATGTTGGATTCCTCCCCCTCTGTTGAGAGAGGGCTGTTCAGTTTTGACATAGATGGCCTCTTTCAAACCAGTGGTCCTCTCTGTCCAAAATGTGGACTTTTCTGCCTTCGAAAGAGCGGTCTTTTAAATGCAGATTGGACTGCTGACTCTTGACCTGATGGGTTTGTGAAAAAGCATCTTTGGGAGAAGAGAGGACTCATTGGAAAAGACCCTGATGTTGGGAAAGGTGGAAGGCCACAGGAGAAGGGGACGGCAGAGGATGAGATGGTTAGATAGTGTCACTGATGCAATGAACATGAAACTCTGGGAGACAGTGGAGGCCAGGAGGGCCTGATCTGCTGTGGTCCATGGAGTCGTGAAGAACAAGAAAACCAATAGCAGTCCCAGAAAAGAAATATGGGTAAGCAGCCTTCATCATCAGGTATTGGTTGAGTGTCAAAATTGTTTGCTTCTTCCTGTGTAGGTGGTACCGCAACCTGTGTCCACGGCTCAATGATCCTAGTTGGGCCCCTGGACCCAGCCTTATCAGCCTTCAAATGAGAGTGACTCCAAAGCTCATGAGGCTTAACTGGGATGGCTTTCCATTGCACTACTCTGAGAAACATGGCTGGGGCTACCTGGTGCCAGGAAGGAAGGACAACCTGTTAGAGGATGATCCAGACGCTGCATCGGCCACCTGCCCTTTCAAGTAAGGAAAGATTTCTGGGGGGAGTGAAATCCACAGTGCTAACCTCCCCCCCACACACACACACCTTTGCATGTTGTGTAATGGATGCATAAGTGTGTACATCTCACCCAAAGAGCTTTATTACGGTCTTCAGTTGGAGAACAGCAGAACATCAACAGCAATATTTTGGAAATGTAGCAAAGCATGAAACTCAACAAGTGGCACTGCAATTCTCCAATACCAACTGTCTAGATAAGATGACTATACAGTAATAGGGTAAGGATCTGGAACAGCAAAGAATAGAAAAGCAGGAGAAAACAAAGCTTATTTCATCAGCTGGCAGGCCCAACCTCTGGTATTTTTTTTAACCAAAGCTGTTAAAATCAAGTTCCAGATGCAATTAAAAAAAAAATCATGCCATTGCTCAGATTTTCAGTGATAACTCAGAATAAGGTATGTCTTCCCCTCTGGCTGTTTCTTGGGGAATTAACGTGGGGTCTTGACTTGAAGCAACTTAACCTTCAGTTCCAGAATGAGTTATCTTCAGATAACATTGATTCGGATTGGAAAAAACTGTCCAGCTGCAATAAGAGACACCTAATTATGCCTTGGTTTTCTGCAAACATTGTAGGGACATGTGAAATCAACTGATTTCATCTTAAATCCTGTAGGTCAGCTTTTTTGTTGAACTTGGCAATTTTAAAAGGCGTGGTTTTCCAACTCCCAAAATTCTGGAAACTTGCTCGGAGTTCAAGTCCGCATATCTTAAAATGGCCACTTCAAAAAAACACTGACTAGGGTCATCTAAGTGATTGCTGTGTTATATTAATGATGTGACAGAGATTGCCGACAATATCGCCAAATTCTTCTCAGCGGTATGTCAAGATGCTTGTAAAATGTTTACAAAACTTTTTGAATTGGACTGCATGTCACTTTGGTGTCGTTACAGTATTAGGCCAGTACTGTCTTTGCCTTTTACTTGTCTGGCTTAATGTTGCTGGATTTTGACACTAATAAAAACATTCATTCATTCTACTTTTCAAGAGCCGTGAAGACAAGAAAATGTTTTTGTGAGCTTTATATCAGGTACCCAGGAACTTTACATACCTAAAAGAAAACCCCACAATTAGGTCTAAAGCAGTGATGGCGAACCTTTTACAGACCAAATGCCCAAACTGCAACCCAAAACCCACTTACGTATCGTCGGTGCCGGGTGGGCGTGGCCCTTTGGATGGGTGTGGCCAATTGGGTGGGCATGGCTTCGGTGGTAATGGAAGACTGGGTGGAACTAAAAAGTTCAATCAATCAATTCCAACTTTGCAAGATCTTTTTTTTTCCCGCAAGAAGTTGAAATTGATTGATTGATTGAACCTTTTTTTTTTGCACACGGCGGCAGAGGTTTTATAAAGCGAAAAGGTTTTATAAAACCCAGCTTAAGGCCTAGGACTGGGGCGACGGCGCGCGTGCCCACAGAGAGGGCTCTGCGTGCCACCTGTGGCACCCGTGCCCTAGGTTCGCCACCACGGGCCTAAAGTATCTATTCCCCCCCTAAAGACAATTCAATAATGAGAAGGAAGAAAAAGGCTCATACATTTTGCTAGGCAAGGGATGATTATGATTCTGCTGCAGTTCAGGCTATGAAAACTCTTATTTCTGATAGGGTAATAGAACATCTGTATCGGGAATATTGCAAGGAGAAAGGGAAGGAGCAACCGGTTTCACTCGGCAGCTACCTGGAAGAAGAGTTCTTAATGGAGAACGGTGATTTTTGGGAAAAGGTACTTGTTCTCCTCTCCAAGATGAGAGGTACAGTTTTGTGACAGAGTATGCACTTTATTGTACCGTGCCAGATATTGGGTGGAGGAATTCTTACTGGAGTGTTGATAAATATATTGTGAAATTAGTGTCCTTTAAAAGGCTTTGCCGTGGTTGCAAGCAAAATGGCGAATTGGGTCATCTCCCGGCATGCAGAAAAGTGCTATTCTGTGGTCTCCTTATAAGAAACAATCGTCCGGAGCACACGTGGATGATCTCCTGTTCTCTCCTTATCCAGGGAGGTTCCAGGAAACCAGTCTACTCACCTTGTACTTTGCAACAATGGTTGGTTTTGTTTTTACAGAACCATCTGCAGTTTGCGCTACCTCCCCCAGAAATTCTTGATTCTCAGATTAAAAAATGACCACGTCGTAATTCTTTTTAAAAACTTGCATGTCAGATAGGTTAAAACATTGGTTGCTTGTTTATGTGCAGAGGGAGTGGTTTTTTTCACATTTTATAGATAATCCTTTTGGTCAAGTGCGAACTTGGAAGATAAGCGATACTGTGAACAGATACGGAACAACTTTCACATATTAAAGAATTTCTTTTTTTCTTCATGTCAGTTTGAATTGCTTGGCCATGTGGAGGTGGATATGGATGTGGATTCGATCACCAGAGAACTGAGGCAGGTAATGGCCCATCTAAAGAAATAAAATAATCATAATTTAATCTGGTACCAGGCATGCTTGAAGGTGTTCTTTTGTTCATACATACATACATATCTGTTGTTGTTTTAACCATTTAGTCGTTTCCGACTCTTGGCAACTTTATAGGCACGTGCTCTCCATCCAAGCCCATCAAGCACAGCTTCTTCCAATTGTTGGATGTTCATCTTTGTACCAATTTTGATGTTATCAAGCCCACATTCTTTGCTTGCCCCTTCTTGTTCCACTAACCATTCCTAGCATCATTGACTTGTCCAATGAATTTGAACGTATGACATGGCCAAAGTAAGTCAGACGTATTATGATTTTAGCTTCTAGTGATGAACCTGGTTTTATACAATTTAACATCTCTCTCTTAGTCACTCTGTCCATGGTAGACGCTATAATTTATGCCCACACCACTGTTCAAAGGTATCAATTCTTCTTTGATCAGCCATTTGTAGTGTCCAACATACAGACATATGAATGAATGAATGACTCTCAACTGCTTAATCCTGCATTGATTCTTCTATACAGGAAGAGATGGAGTTGGTGAAGAGTTCACCTGAATATCACCATGGCAATGGACCTTACAATGATGTCAATATTCCAGGATGCTGGTTTTTTAAGCTGCCTCACAAAGTAAGGGTGAACTTCATGGTGTCTGTATTTGTATATCTGTCAGGGAATCCAGTGACAACTTGCATCTATTGGCATTGTGAATGTGTTGTCATTTTAACATCCCTGTCGTTAGTTGCAGTCTCCACTGCACCCCACCTCCTTTTCACTTTAGTGCACATTAGTGTTTTTTATTTATTCTTTAGATAATTTTTGTAGCCCTGTTTGAGTTGGCAAGAGGGAGAATGTAGCTGTGGCACTCTTGACTTACCCAATCAGCATCTGTATCACCGATGAGTTTTGGCTAGAAAAATTCTTCTTACTAAGGCATCTCAGCAATTAAGTATCTTTTCTCCTGATTGAAAGAACAAAGAAAGGGAATGTAGATAAGAGCCACCAGAGTTTAAATTTGTTTTGCTTGCTGTTGTAAAGATCGCTGTGAAGATTTACTTATTCTCAGTTGTGGCGAGTGCAGTTGAGGAATGTTAATTAATGGGAAAAATATTCTGCCCATTTAGAAACTAGAATAATTTTCAGGGATAAAATGGATCATATAGCTCAGTGATTCAGAAGCTCTAATACTCCCAGCTGAAACAGGGATCTGAAGTGTGAAGAGAGTGGTTCTCTCTTATGTTTGCATGGAAGAAGGAATTTCTTTAAAAATAACCAAGGAAGAAGCATTGCATTTTGCTTGCAGAATCTGCTTTGAGTTAAAATAAAACTTTCTTCACCGGCTCTTAAAAGGATGGCAATGCCAGCAATGTTGGGAGCCCATTTGCCAAGGATTTCTTACCCAAGATGGAAGATGGCACTCTTAAAGCTGGAATAGGAGCAGCAGATGGGACCCACGCTTTGGAAATCAACAAGAAAATCTCCTTCTGGAGAAACGCTCATAAACGCATCAGGTGAGCAGAGGGACGCATATTCGGTTGTGGGTTTGTCTTGCTGCCAACTCACCATAGTGTAATTGCTTGCTCTTTCTTATTCTCCTTTCTCCCCTTCTCCTTTGCTTTCCTTCCGCACAGCAGAAATTTGAACTCTGTTCTGTATTGTAGAATGTCTTCCTTCTATCATAAACCTGTCCAGGTTGCATAAACCAGGGGTCCCTAATCCCCCCCCCCCCCGTGGCATGTCAGCAACCGGTCTGCACAAACAAGCAAAGCACCATCCGCGGGATGCAGGCAGCACACAAAACCACACACTGTACAGTCTGTGGAAAAGACTGGAAAGGTGGCAGAAAAAGCTTAGTCTAACTTTATTGTAAAACTTTTTTTTTTCTCCTTGCAGTTCACAGATAGTGGTTTGGTTGAAGAAAGGGGAGCTGCCAAGATCCGTGACTAGGTATGTATAGAGAAATGCAGTCAAGACCAACATTGCGATATCTCTTTTATTTCATCCAAAATTAGCGACCTCCGCTAAAATCCATATAAAGGTCTGCATTCAAGTAAATGATCATTCTGGGCCTCAGATGCTTACTTTTATTGTCACTATTAATCTCTTCTCTCTGGAAAGAGGGTGCAGAAAACAATCATGATAGAGTAGCTCACAGGATTAGCCTTTTTACTGCAGATCAGCTTTTAACTGATTTGGGAGCATAAACAGCAGTGTGGAATCTGCAGAGTCCCTGACGGTGATCTTCCAGGTTTTGAAGTGGGTTCTCACCGTGATCTTTTTCTAGGCACCCAGACTACGATGACGAGAATGCTTATGGAGCCATCCTGCCACAAGTAGTGACTGCTGGAACGGTCACTCGGCGAGCTGTGGAGCCCACGTGGCTGACCGCCAGCAATGCCAGGGTAAAATGCTCTTTTCAGAGGCTTTGTATTCAAAATTCTGCACCAGCCTTTTGGCTGTTCCCACAGCGGAGCGGAATATGAGATAGCACGGAAGCAGGAAATTGCAGGCCCGTTTCCACAACGCTAAGATGTTTGAGACCCTTCCAGGCTTGCAACAGAAACCTGTTTGTGTTACTTTAAACCCAGGATAAGGATAATTTCTTTCCTCAAGTCCTAGAGTTTGGGTTCAATGCTGATTGTTCTGGCTGCTGTACCCTCCTATATGGCAGGGCTAGGTTTAGGAATATGGAAGAGCAGAATAAAATTGTGTTGTTTTTTTTCCTGCCACACCCAGTGCAAAACCCAAGCCATCTATGCATATGTAGAACCAATGAAACAGTACAGGTAGTCCTCAACTTACGATCACAACTGAACCCAGCATTTTTGTCGAGACAATTTGTTAAGTGAGTTTTGCCTCATTTTACGACTTTTCTGGCCACCGTGGTTAATTGAATCACGGCGGTTGATAAGTTAGTAAGCAGGCTGATAAGTGAATCTGGCTTCCCCCTTGAGTCAGGAGATTGCAAAAGGGGATCACATGACACCCCCCCAGGACACGGCAACCGTCATAAGTGTGAGTCAGTGATCAAGCATCTGAATGTAAATCACGTGACCCTGGGGATGCTGTAATGATTGTAAGTGTGAAAAATAAAACAGTACATACAGGTAGTCCTTGACTTACGATCACAATTGAGCCCAACATTTTCGTCGTTAAGTGAGACATTTGTTAAGTGAGTTTTGCCTCATTTTATGACTTCTCTGGTCATAAATACGAGTCGGTTGCCAAGCGTCTGAATTTTGATCACGTGAACCATGGGGATGCCGCAATGGTGTAAGTGTGAAAAACGGTCATAAGTCCCTTTTTTCAGCACTGTTGTAACTTTGAAGGGTCACCAAACGAACTGTCGTAAGCCGAGGACCACCTGTATAAGAGCTGACTGATTGTCCATTCTGAAGAATGAGTCTTCCCGCCGAGCAAAAGGATGGAGAGAAGGGCGCTTCCTTTTAATCCAAGCCCACGCATCGACCGCAGCTCGTCAGGAACCAAAATTATTTCTTCCATTTCTTACAGACCGACCGGGTGGGCAGCGAGCTCAAAGCGATCGTCCAGACTCCTCCTGGTTACCATCTGGTTGGAGCCGATGTTGATTCTCAAGAGCTTTGGATAGCAGCTGTCTTGGGAGAAGCCCATTTTGCCGGCATGCATGGTGAGTATCAGCATACTGAGCAGTTTTCTCCTGGGTAGCCAAAATATCGCGTCGGTAAACATAAACATTCTCTGCGTCCTCTCCGTTAGCCGCTCCTGATAGATCAATTTTCTGTACGTTTATTTGTCTCCCGTTTCTAAAGACCTCTCGAATAGCTATCCTCAATTTATGACCCCACCGTTGGGACGAGAATTCCCATGGCTAAGCAAGGCAGTTGTTGAACAAGCTGCTCCCAATTTTACAGGTGTTTTTTTTTTTGCCACGGTTCAGTGAATTATTGCAGTTGTTAAGCGGATCACAGGTTTGTTAAGCGGATCTGAGTTCCCCTGTTGACTTTGCTCGTCAGAAGCCAACTTGGGAAAGTGGCAGACGGCAACCTAAATATAGGCCGGTGGCCAAGCGTCCGAATTTTGATCCCATGATTGTAGGGAGGCTGCACCAGTTACAAGTGAGAGGACCAGTCCCAAGTCACTTTTTTCAGTGCTGTGGTAACTTCAAACCGTCACTAAATGAGTGGTTGGTAAGTCGAGGACTATCTGTGCCCAGGAGCTGAATTTTAAAACCTATTTTATTTAAATAATCAAAAGTCTACGGAGATTCTCCGTCATCCAGGTCATGGTTGTCCCAAAGGTGATTTTTCAGAAGGCAACTGGACTTTCTTGTTTTTCTTTGAAGACGTTTCGCTTCTCATCCAAGAAGCTTCTTCAGCTCTGACTGGAGGGTGGGGAATGGAAGGATTTATATTCCTTGCATCATCTGTCTCCAGTCTACAACACAGTCCTTTCAACAGTTCCAAGAAGGCTCCACACCCATTTGCACTACTCAGGTGACCCTGAAGACACAGGTAAACTTCCAGGTGGCCTCAACGATTCTCTAAAATAGAGGTGTCAGACTGCCGAACGGTTGCATCATGCGGAGGCCATGCCCCCACCCCAGCTGCAAAAAAAGCCGCAATGCGTCACGACATCACTTGACAGGACGAGTTTGACTCCCGTGCTCTTAACAGAATTCAAATGACGAGCTGTCTGCAAGGAGTATAAATCCTTCCATTCCCCACCACCCAGTCAGAGCTGAAGAAGCTTCTTGCATGAGAAGTGAAACGCCTTCAAAGAGAAAAAAGAAAGTCCAGTTGCCTCCTGAAAAAGCATCTTTCGGAAAGCAACTTAAGTGACATTTCTGATTAGCTTAGAATGAAAAGGGGAGAATGCAGAACAGACTGTTTGGCATCGGGCTAACATCTTAGCACCTCAGCTGACAAATGTTTCCAAGCAAGTATTGCAACCCTAAACACTGGAGACATGCTTATTTTTCTGTGCAAAATCTGGTTCTTGGCTCCATTTTGCATCCCTGTCAACAGTTCGCCTCCGGATCCACTCTGTTCTTGGTTCTTGTCTTATCAAAGCCACCTTGAGACGATCTTTTACTTCCTGACCCTCTTTTTTCCGCCCCTTTGAAGGCTGCACCGCTTTTGGCTGGATGACGCTTCAGGGGAAGAAAAGCAACGGCACGGATCTGCACAGCAAGACGGCCTCCACCGTGGGGATCAGCCGAGAGCACGCCAAGGTGTTCAACTACGGACGTATCTATGGGGCAGGACAGGCGTTTGCTGAGCGCCTCCTCATGCAGTTCAACCACCGCCTGACAGAACAGGAAGCCAGTGAGAAGGCCCGGCAAATGTACGCCGTCACGAAGGGAATCCGACGGTAAGGAGGCAAAGGAGGAATCTTCGTTTTGTTGAATGACTAGATGATTGATTGGTTGTATTTACACGCTGTTCCAATCCACGCAACTCTGAGTGGCTTAGAAAACTGATTCACAATATAGTATCCAAAAGAGAATCCAAAGAAAATCCACCAGCATTTAAATCTTACCACAAAGAATCTACCAACCATTGCAACCCAGGGCCTAAGTTCAGAGGCAGGTCGGAAGAGCTTGTTTAAACAGGTCCAAGAAGGAGCATGATGGCTTGGGTGGCTAGGACACTGGGTTGGAGGTTAGCAAATCCACGTTCGAGACCCGCATGCTGCCAGGGAGTGGGGTGAGCTCTCGTCCTTCGCTCCAGCTCCTGCCGGGGACATGAAAGGAGGCCTCAACTGGGTGTTCTCTGGGCAACCGTGATGTCACCGGCTAATCCTTTTGTCAAGGTAATGATTTAGAAGCTAACCAGCTTGTATAATGTGAGATGAATGATGCAATGTTAGGAATGACTCGGCAGGAGTCTGTATCCCTTTAAGAGCTTGAGTATAAAAGGGATGGCCTTGCTGGAGTCTCTCTCTCTTGTCCGTTTCCTGCTGTAATTGCTGTGTATTGGAGTTTGTTGTATCACCACGTGGTTGTATTTTGTTTCTAGTGTATAATTGTACATAGTATGTGATAAACCACCATTTAATACAGACCACTGTTTACTGCATTTATTCCTGGGTTACCTCAGCGCAATAAGACTGTGCATGCTCCGACACCTTTCAACCCCGGAAGCACCTCGGTGCTTCTGACACAAGTGCAATGCAACAGATCCAGGAAGGGGCCTCTAAATCTCGGCAGCTTTTAGACGGTCTTTCCCATCCTTGGATTTCCTTCTTTCTTCATTTCTTATAGCTGCCACCTGTCTGAGGAAGGGGAATGGCTAGTGAATCAATTGGGCCTCACGGTAGACAGAGCAGAAGATGGTTCCATACCCTTGCAAGACGTGTGGCGGTTACAAAGAGAAGCAAAGAAACGGTAAAGAGACAACAAGAGCCAAGCTTTACTGTAGTTATTCCTTCAAAATAATCAGACTTGTGCAAAACACTGGGTGGTTGGCACTAAAATGAAGTCATGTTCCACGTCAGAATCAGCTAAACTCCATCCTGCAAACTTCTGCTAGGAATTGCATGCTTTGCTAAATTCTTCGGCACTCAGAATTCTTTGCATGTTGCCCCTCCAAATGTCTGGTAATTTCAGTCAGATACTCTTGTGACTTCTGAAATTCCCCAAAAGTCAGCGACACATTCTTAAGTTTGCCTTTTCAGCCATAAGGTCCAGAAACTAAAAAAAAAACCCAATCTTTTCGTTATTGTCATTTTAAAGGGAAGCTGAAATGCTGCAAAGCTAAAATCTGAATCTTGTATGATTGCAATATCAGTTTGTTATTCTTTGCTCTGCGTGTGCGTCTCCTGCTGCATTGCAAGTCTTTCTTCTTGCAGTTCAATGACCGCAACCCCAAATTGTAAGGTCAGATTTTCTGTTGATCTCCGAGTTCAGCAGCGATGTGCTTCGTATTCTAGCTCTCGTAGGAAGAAGTGGGACATGGTGTGCCAGCGAGTGTGGGCCAGTGGCACAGAATCTGAAATGTTCAACAAACTGGAAAGCATCGCCATGTCGGAAGCACCCAGCACCCCAGTGCTGGGCTGTCGAATTTCTAGAGCATTGGAGCCAGCAGCTGTTGACGGCGAGGTGAGAGAGATCCTTCTGTTCTAACTAGTTGATTTTTTTTGAGCAGTAAAAGTAGCGACTTGAGCTGCAACTGGAGATGTTGTCATTACCGTCTTTGTTCTTAAGCTTGATTTAGACTTGTCTGCAATTGCACGTAGGCATCAATCATCCAAGCTGCAGAGGGGTGGATGGATAAGTGTAGGTTGCAGATGGCTGTAGACCGGCTGATGCGCAGACCTCCCAAATCTCAACTACGCAGCAATTAAATAACAAGCCGATTTCCTGATTGAAAAAGTATTACAGTATCTGTTCATTTTTTTTTCTTTCCCTTTCTAGTTTGTGACCAGCAGAATAAATTGGGTGGTTCAGAGTTCAGCGGTGGATTATCTGCATCTGATGCTCGTATCTATGAAATGGCTCTTTGAGCTATTTGACATTGATGGACGTTTTTGCATCAGCATCCATGACGAAGTGCGCTACTTGGTCAAGAGCGAGGACCGCTATCGGGCAGCGCTTGCCCTGCAGATCACCAACCTCCTCACACGGTAAATTCCGGTCGTATCATTTGGCAAGTTCATATTGTATTTGAGATTTCCCCTTAATCTAGTATTTGAGATGTTCCCATAATCTAGTGCCCTCCAGATAATTGGGTTACAAGCCCAGATGTCTTATGCTAGGTAGGAATTTTGGAAACTGTGTTCTTATTGACCCTGGAGAATGCCAGTCAGCTTGGGGAAGATGGTTCAACTGATGTAAATTGAGGATGGCCAAAAATTTTCTTAGTCGGACACATAGGAATTTATCGGCAAAAATATTCAGTTTAAAGAAGTTGAGTTGGAAAAGAAATTATTGGAAATAAAGCCTCTAAGACCCGATGGCTTAGTCACTGCATACCAAAGATAAATATCAAACTTACTGTGACATATTAGTGTTTAGAATTTTAATAATCTAATCCCAGTTCTCTGAAAGATTGTTGGGAGTCTAATGAGAATCCATTATTCTCAAATCTTGGAAAAAACACTGCTGGGCAATAAAATATTGTAATTGAAAGAAGGCAGAGCTGATTTTAAAGAAATTAGTTTCCCTTCGTGCAATTTTTTACCAATTATATATTTGTGGAATAATAGTAGGATGGCTCAAGATTGCATCATTGTATTTGCAAATCCCAGAAAATCTGTGGCATCTTGAGAACTCGGATGGAGATTTTTATCTGTTCTTCTTTGAGATACGTACATGTGATTACAATTAGGGAAGAGCTTCAAGGGCTGAGTTTTGGACATAATTTTAAACCACAGATTCAAGCACTAAATAGAACGTTGTCAACTAATATATCAGGGTAACAACAAAAAAAAAACCCCGAAGCTCTTGCTTATTGATTTGGAATAAAATATTATAGAGTTTTCTATTTTATATATCAGTTACCCATTTGTTTTTCAAACTTAAATAGAACTTCTGTGGCTAATTAAAATGTGTTTTTGAACAATTGGGGTTTTTTTTGTCCCCTAGAGGATAAAGGTGCATGATGGAAATAGTGAAGGTGTGTTGTAGTGTGCCTTTTAAACAATATATTTTTGTAACTGATCAGAGGATCTGCTCCAAAGGAAGAAGGGATATCCTTCTAAATATTTTTCCCTAAATCCAGCATTCACTTTTTTAGGTGTATGTTTGCCTATAAACTCGGTCTTCAGGATCTGCCTCAGTCGGTGGCCTTTTTCAGCGCGGTAGATATTGATCATTGTTTAAGGAAAGAGGCGACAATGGATTGTGTCACCCCGTCCAACCCAGGAGGACTGGAGCAAAGGTACAACATCCCCCAAGGTGCGTATCAGATGGTTACTGCTTTTCAAAATCACACTTGACAAGAATTCTACCTTCCAGTTGCTGGATAATCCTATATAATGAGAGATTGTAAACCTTTCTCAGTCTGGATATCAGCTTTGTGCAAGGCTTCCCTCATCCTCAGGATCAGTTTGGCTTTGCCCAGGAGTATCCTTAAGGACAAACCCAAAGTGCCTGCATGAGTTCTCATGCTTCCTGCAACAGGGAAAGAAAGTATTAAACTGAGGATAGTATCTTTCCCTTACATTCTCTGACTTAACAGGACACTTTTGTGCACGGCTGTGTAGAAGTGTTGAAACTCAGCATTAAGAAAAACCAAGATCATGGCATCCGGCCCTCTCAATTCCTGGCAAATAGATGGGGAGGAAATGGAGGTAGTGACAGATTTTATCTTCCTGGGCTCCAAGATCACCGCAGATGGGGACTGCAGCCAAGAAATCAAAAGACGTTTGCTCCTGGGGAGGAAAGCTATGACAAATCTAGACAGCACACTAAAAAGCAGAGACACCACCCTGCCAACAAAAGTACGTATAGTCAAGGCCATGGTTTTCCCAGTTGCAATGTATGGCTGTGAAAGTTGGACCATAAGAAAGGCTGAGCGCCAAAGAATGGAGGCCTTTGAACTCTGGTGCTGGAGAAGACTCCTGCGAGTCCCCTGGACTGCAAGGCGATCAAACCGGTCAGTCCTAGAAGAGATCAACCCTGACTGCTCTTTAGAAGGCCAGATCCTGAAGTTGAAACTCAAGTACTTTGGCCACCTAATGAGAAGGAAGGACTCACTGGAGAAGAGCCTAATCCTGGGAAAGATGGAGGGCAAGAGAAGAAGGGGATGACAGAGAATGAAGTGGCTGGATGGAGTCACTGAAGCAGGAGGCGGGAGCTTAAATGGACTCCAGAAGGTGGTAGAGGACAGGAAGGCCTGGAGGAACGTTGTCCATGGGGTCGCGATGGGTAGGACACAACTTCGCAACTAACAACAACATGTAGAAGTGAGAGACATTTAAATTCAATGAGCCTGAATACCTCAGTAACAGAATATAAACATTTTATCCCCCCCTGAAAGATACTTACTTTTTAAGAAGTAAAGCCTCCTATATCAGGGCTATCTGAAATTGCTTTTGCAAGTTAATGTGCATTTTTAAAATTATATAGTTGTTTATTTTCAGGAACACAGTTAACAATTGCTGAACTAAATGTGACAGCTTAAGAAACCAACGCAACATTATGCATTTTATTAAATTGTTAGAGGAATACTTCGCCAAAGTAAAGTAAGAAAATTCAAACCAGCTCTGGCTTATTATCTAAATATATTCATAGTTTCTGGCCAAACTAAAAAGAGTTGGAAGTATAGGTTTTAATTTACACGTTCCTTCCCTCTCCTGCTTTATATAAATCCTTGCTTGGAACAAGATGTCTTTAGGAGCGCAAAAACCAGCTCGTGAATCTTTATAAGTTAAGTTTGAACTTTTGAGCATTTTTAATAGGCACAGAAATGACTCTTGTTATTGTTAATTTCTTACAGGGGAAGCTCTGGATATATACAAACTTATTAAAATAACAAAAGGTTCCTTGGAAAAAGGAAAATGAAGTTTGAGTTTAGAAGTTAACTGGACACGCTTTGTCCCAGCGGGATCCTCCAGAAGGAACCTTTTGGTCACGGACACCTGCTTTTTCTTCTCACCCCAAGTCAAAAGGAGGAGAAGAGGCATCGCTGAGGATTGTGGTTCCCAAGGCCAACGTGGAGGATTAGGGACCCAAAGGAAAAGTGGCAAATTTAATGTGCCTTATTGGGATAGACCATGGATAGGTCATCAGCAGGTTACCGATACTGCGAGCATTCAAGGTTCTATGTGCAAAGGATATGGTGAAGAAACACTTTTTTAAATATGCTGTAGACTGAAAAAGATGGGTGTTAAAAAGGTGCAAAACCAGCCATTTGAGAAGCAACAGTGCTGCTCTCATTTTTTTCGTCTCTTCTTCTTGGGTTCTCTGCTGGGGTTTGACTGTGCAGACGCAACGCTCTGGAAGAAATAAAAGCAGAGCACATCAGGAAACCCATAACTGGCCAGTGAATGACTGAAATAGTGCAAGCTATATAATTTGCTAGCTAACCAAACTAGTCACCTCTGTTGTAACAGATCTCCCAAATATTTCGGAGGGTGGTGTGTTTTTTTGGCCTTTGTTAAGGTATGTTTCAAGGAAAGAAACAGAAGAGAACTATGGTAAGGATGGAGATCCCACAACAAAACGTTTCGGGATTCCTATTTTATTTTTGAAATTAAATTTTGAAATTAATTTAAATTTCCTGGAAGCAGAAAATGTCTTGGTATTTATTCCTGCTCCCAAACTGTAGCAGTGTGGAATTGTCCCTTCACTTTGGAATAGGACTAGGACTGTTGCCATATTGCCATGTTCCATTAATGGTTGGCTTTTAAAACAAGTTGGCAGAACACTATAATTTATTTTTACAAAACCACAGGAGTAACCTTAGCTTTATATACTCTGATTAATAGAACAAGGGACCCTGGATAACTATGATCCTTTAATTTAAGCAGTAGATTCAAACGAGCCTTTGGTCTAAGCGTGCTCCGTTGATGGTGGCAAGCCCAAGATCCAGTCTTGGAAAAATTTTTACCTAAGCATACAAGGGTGTTAACCTGTTCAATTGGTTCACCCTCTAATTGCCAACTATGTCTCTCATGGTGTTTTCCAAACACCATGATTTTTTATTTAGATTTACACACTATAATTATTTAAACTGATGTTAGCACGCGTGTGGTTGATACTCATGCAAACTTCACAAGGAGAATTTAGAGAGATATATATTGCTATCACCAAAAGAAGATCCTTCAGACTATAAAGAAAACCTCTTAGAAACAAGGAGCACATCTGGAAATTTGGGATCTTAGTGGGAGGACATTCACAAAGTGGCTTCCAAAATGGGCATCAGCAGAACATTTGTGGAGCATAAAGGCCTTGTTGCAAATTGGCAGGGGCTTTACCTCACCCCCTTTTCAATGTGCAGGTAGTCCCCAACTTAAAACAGTCCATTTAGTGACTGTGGCACTGAAGAAAAATTATTTATGATTTTTTTTTTTACACTTATGACTGTTGCAGCTTCCCCACGGGACCAAAATTTGGATGCTTGGCAACTGGCTCACATTTATGACGGTCGCAGCGTCCCGGGGGCCATGTGATCCCTTTTGCGACCTTCTGACTAGCAAAGTCAATGGGGAAGCCAGATTCACTTAACAGCCATGTTACTAACTTAACAAATGTGGCCAGAAAGGTCGTAAAGCGGAGCAAAATTCACTTAACAGCTGTGTTCCTTAGGAACCAAAATGTTCAGCTTTGTGAATTGTGGCCATAAACCGAGAACTTCCTTTATATCATGAAAGGAACCTTTTAAAAGAAGGCGTGTAGGCATCAAGGGAGGGGTCTTGGAGGCACATGGGGAGGTCACCTTTCCTGCAAACTGACCTCATTGTGGTCTGGCTCCTCCTCAGCATCCTGTTCCTGTAGGACATTTTCTATAGTAGATACGTTGATTCGGAAATCCCGGGAGGCACTTAGTTTCATGTATTGCATTAAGTTGACCTGGAACACCCAGAGGTCAATCAGTTATTTTGCAAAATGTTTACACCACCCATTCAAAGGATTGAAAAGAAATATCAAATTTACACTTGGGTTATATGAGGTACGGTTACTGTAAGTGTATAGATCAGTGATGGCGAACCTTTTAGAGACCAAGTGCCCAAACTGCAACCCAAAACCCACTTATTTATTGCAAAGTATCAACAGGACAATTTAATCTGAATACTGAGGTTTTAGTTTAGAAAAAACAACTCATGCATTAACATCTTTTTGTCTTAAAAGAAAAACACAATAACAAAGCTTTCAATGATACAAACAACTTTTTACTGAAAGGTAAAAGTTGGCATTTGGCATGCCTTTGAACAATTAATGTGATTTCTGCTGTTGTATGCATGCTGATAATTTATCTAACCTTGGCTTATACTTTGTAAGTTTGAAAGCAACACATGCAGCACTCAGGTCATCTGTTAGTCTGTTTCTGGTGTCAGATTTGATATAGTTCAAAGCTGAAAACAGTGCGCTCGCTCTGGAGGCTTGTTTTGGCTAGGAAGGGGCTTGAGAAATGGCTTTTTTCCTGCGAAAACTTAGCCAAAGAGAGAGGTGCGTGTGCCCACAGAGAGGGTTCCAAGTGCCCCCTGTGGCACGCGTGCCATAGGTTCGCCACCACTGGTATAGATCAACTAAAAATTTAACTGAAAATTTGCATCTGAATAGAAAGACACTGTTTGAATTGGGTTTATGAGACAAATAAATTAATATTTCATCAGAGGGCAAATATAAAGACCCTTCTCGATCACTCTGAATTCTAATATACGGATGCTATTTTGATGTGGGAAGTCAAGAAGTGAAATTGCTTATGCAAATGAAAAATAATTAAAATTTTGAACTTGGAGGCAGGGGCTAATGAATCGTAAAATGCATAAGCATCAGATGCAGTATAAAAGATATACTAAGTTATATCACAATTGCCGGTATTTTATAAAAAGGAATAACGATATTTTTAGAATTAAATCTTACCTTTGCCTTTTTAGAGAGATGGATCAGAAAATTCTCATACTGTTCTATGGCGAAAACCAAGTTTGGAATTGGTTTAGTCTCCCGCAACACTTTAGCCTATGAATTCCAAGAAAATCAGCATAGCAATAGAAGACAACACATTATTACTGTTTAGGATTTTATTTGTTTATATAACTACCCGTCTCATAAGAAGTGTCACCAGACAGCATCCAACAAAGAATTTTCATGGGCCAGAAGTTAGCAAAAGTAGAACAAATGAAAAGAATACCATATTTTGAGATCAAAATAGACCAGACGTTATTTTCTACATTAAAGAGCTAAGCAAGTGTTTTAGTTACAAAGGAATTTTGGAAGCAACGAAGTAGAATACTGTTGGCTACATTAGTTTCACATTTATGTAAACAAAAAACATGGAAAGATTTTAAATATTTTAAAATACACTATTGACATCACTCAACTGAATCAACTCTTCACACAGACATTTCATGTAACTAGAATCTCTCTGCGGACAGAAGCAAAATGATAAGTCTTCTGTCCAAGCATCAACCATGTTAAGTTCACCCCATTTTCTCTTAACCTTTATTGTGTACGAACATATCAATTGTTTCTGATTGTGTGAATATCTCATTTTCCTAGAAGTTGCTGCCGTTCTAGAATGCAAAAATAAAATGTCTGGGAACTACTGTAGGACAATAGTTTAAACCCACTCTAAGATTTAGATGTAAGAAAATATTGAAGATCAACTTTTAGCTCAGCCTGGCTTCATGGAACTACATAAATGTGAAAAACTAACCACGCTTACCATAACAGCGGATTCCTCTCCCTTTTTGTCTTTTTTCTTTTTTTCACCTGCAGAGGTCAGGGTTTCACGTTGGATGTTCTGAAGAAAACAAAAAATCATATTAGGAAGACATATCTTTAATGGGTCTGGTGGGAATAGAGCAACTGGGCACATGGGTCCAGAGGCTTCAGTTGGTTATTTGCTGGCAACAGTCTACTGATGTGTTTTCCTAACTCTTGAGGACTACGAGCTCACACTGTTGTTCCAATTACTTTTGTCACAGCGTTAGAGAAATTCTGGATCTTCATTCTTAACATCCTCAAATTCAAGATCTTTCCGCCTGCTACATTCATATAGTTCTATGGCTGCATAGAACACGATGGAATTCTGTCTGCCAGCAACATCTAATGGAACTTTGATCCTCAGATTTTGACATTAGAGCATCCACAGATGTATTTGGGTTGCCACCAGCTTCCCACCCCTACCAGGGGATGCTCAAACTCAAATGCAGTTTGATTCAACAAAGTTGCTTCATCTTACACTCTTAGCATTTCTCTTCCTAAGTTAATAGCAGCTTCATCTGGGACTAGAAATCAGAAATTGAGCACTTTGTCTCACCTGGACGTATGTGATGAAGGCGTAGCACTGAGGAGTCATGTGAGAACCAGACAGCCTAACCTACAGAAATAAAGGGGTGATAGTTATCCTGAGAGTTTCCTTTTATGATCTCCACAGAATCTCCATTCCTACCTGGCCCAATATTTATAATTTATAATAATGATAGGCATTGTGCACAAGGAGCTATACTCACCAGTTTCTCAAATCGTCCCGGAATCCCTCCGGCTGTGTTTCGACACACTTGGAGATACTAGGAGAGTAAAGCAAGAGGACATGTCTGAGTGATAGGACTGCCTAACTCTCCGTGAAAGAATATATATAAACTAGGCCTTGGGAAGGGAGCAGTGGAACATTAATGGAGGAGAAAAGATTACTCAGAAAGAGGAGAACATGAGAAAGAAGAATAATATGGCCTTTATTTTGCTTCATGTAAGACGGGATAGAGAGAAATTCTTTCAAAGATTGATATCAACGCTTTGAGGTAAGCAAGGCCAAGAAATAGCACAGGAGGAGATTAAGAGTATTTTTTCCTGTTGCAGATGGAATAACAGAATCTTGCCCCTTTCCCCAGGTAAGGAACATCGTTTCACATTATCCAACTCAAATCAGGATGTCTTTACATATATTATTCCTGGGCCTTATAGCAGGC